AAATTTTTCCCCGTAATCCATTATTTGTAATCAAATTGAGGATGGAGGGGGTATATAATTGAGAATTTGTATATTTACTTCCAAAGTTGCATCTAATAACATGAGTGTGACTACGGCATGATATTGCTTGCACATCTCTATCTAAGCTATACGGCGCCGTCCCATGTAGCCTTGACTGTTATTTGGAATATACTCATCTCCTTAAAAGATTACTAATATTGATTTTTTTTTGTCAAAGTGTGATTATTTTTTGTATGTTGGGTGAATATGAGATTATTATAGATAATCTTTTATTTGTTAAAAATGTGTTTAGTATCCGAAATAAAAAATTCAAGAGTAAAATAATGGTTTCTAAGCTCTTGAGTGATACTATGTAATATCGATTGAGTTCAGTCTTTGACACTATATATGTTTGGTTCAAGGAATTTGAAAGAGAAACAAAAAGAAAATGAAGTGAAAAACAATTTTTCTTGTTTGGTTACAATAAGAAAGAAAAAGTGTAAAGAAAAGTAAATAAGAAGACAAAATGTACCAAGTTGAGGGAAATCAAATTCTTCCCATTTTGGTGAGGAAAATGAGAGAAAATCATTTTCTTTTTTTTTTCCTTCTGAATTCTTTGAACCAAACATAGTGTTAATGTTTTTCGATCTAAGTGTCCAATGACTTAGTCCATAGCCCAATCCTAAACTCTATGAGAATGGTAAACACTCTCTTGTTCATATATATACCTTCGTATTCGACTATCGGTGGAGTCATATTGCTTCTACACTTTATGATCACACTTGAACTTGGGATATATATTATATCGACTCATATTTAGACCCTATTCTTTTGGATTAGAATAATTAACTTCTAACTTTTTTCAACTTCTCCCCACCTTCTAGTTTATTCCAATTCATTGCTTCTAGTTTTTCGAACGACTTAAAATTATATTTATATATGATGAATATAGAATAACATTATATATCCAAATTTATAACATACCACCTCAAACAAGGGCAAGATGAATTCTTTTTTATCCAAAATTAGAGTTCTCTTACATATTTATTTGGGTGATTGTTTAATTGAGTGATTTTTTTACACTTTAATTTTTCTAGTGTTTTCTAACTTCTTCCAATTTCTTCCAGATTCTTCAAGCATTCAACTCTAAAATTTCAACCCAAAAGAACATGATCTTAATAAGATTCTTTTTAAACAAATGAGAAACGGATGAATTGCGTTAAAACGACATCGTACTTAAGGCACCGAGTACTTATAATACTCTCTGTTCGCGAGACTGATTGTTCATATCCCGGCCCTTAGCCCACGTAACCCCCCGCACCCCATGCCGATTGGCATTAATATCAGTGATCCGCGAAGCAGGGATCAATTTTAGGGGCTGATGGGTGTATTTCACCCATGACCGGTCAAAGGTCAGAATCAGATAGTTGACCGGTCAAAGAGTTCAAACTTGGAAGAGAGATGAATCATCAATGGAAGGATAGAGGGTTGACCCAAAAGGTTGACCGGTATATTTCGAATAGTATACCGGTCAAACCATGCCGGCGTCTAATTCATCCTTTGGGGTTAGCGAATCCAACCTCCAAGAACCAACCGGTGCAGTTTTTAATGATTGGAGAGTGTCGGTAGGAAGAGTCCAAAAGGACTTGGACTGTAGTGGTTGGCATTGTTGGGGACTCAGTGGAGATGCTGAAGGAATATTTCCAAGCCAGAACGCGACAAGGGAAGTAATTCCCCTCACAAGGCGACAGGGCAGCGTGCCCCCACGTGGGCGCACGTGGTCTTGTCCCCCTTAGCCTAGTATAAATACTCATGTAAACCTCAGAAAGATGGATCGGAATTCATTCTCTCTAAACTCCCTTGTAAAAGCGCCCGTGCATTCTCCGTATTAATATAAATTGGGCTACAGGTGTTCCACCTAAAGTCCTACCAGTCAATCTGCGTGTTTTTACCTTTCTTACTTTGCCGAATCAAACAAACTATTCTAGACCCGGTCTAGTATAGTTTGACCGGTCAAGTAATTTACACCATCAGGGGCGGAATACCGTAGGTGCTCGACTTTAGAATACACAGTGAGTCATCTTGTTTAATAGTATTAGTTTACCTAAATATGACTAAAACATAATGACTTTCTCAATATAAGATCATATGTTTTATTTCGCAGTGTAGGACCATTGGTCATTATCTACTAGTCATTATTCAACTAAATATCCTGTATCACTTGAACATTATTCTTCTCACTAGTCATTATTAAGTCCTATTTAGGTAATAAAAAATTCAAGTTCTATATTAGAAAATGACTTACTCCCTCCGTCCCGAAATAGATTACAATATTCCCTCACATTTTTGTCCCAAAAAGGATTACAAAGTCAATAACTTTATAGTGATTTGACTCTTTTATCCTCCCTTTTTCTTTTCTGCCAGCCACTATTCACACTATTTGGGGGGATTTGGGGGGTAATTTTGGGGAAAAAAATTTTGATTTGACTCTTCCTTAATTTTAACTAAAAGGGAATATTGTAATCTAAAGTAGCACGGAGGGAGTATATCTTAGTCCTATTCACTGCAAATTTCACTAGTATTAATTCATCTTTGAAGATGAGAACATTTTAGAATGAAGATACACAATGATTAGGTTTATTTAGGAATAGGTACGTACGACGTAAGAAGGTCACGTTTGGTGCTGGGTGTCCGAGGAACAGGCTTAGACAGCTCAAGTTAAACTGGAAAAGAGCCAAGTAGAAAAACACAAGATAGAGGAATATATATAATCCATTCTCATGGCTATATATGCAACAAAATAAATAATATTGGTTATATCTATGCCCATATTTTGTCATCCCACACAACCAAAAAAGTAATGGTACTCATTACTCTATTATATTTTCCCATTTTAATCTTTAGTTTAAGCTGGCAGGCTGTTCTAACGTGCATTTGCATTGAGATTTTTGGTCATTTTATCTTAAATCCATAAAGTACATAAAGATAGACTGATCCGAGCTTGGGAGATTCAAGTACTACAAGCTAGAATCTATTATCATTGTTTATTTTTTTTGAAACAGCAATGATTATTTATTTAGAGCGTTTTGCTAGGGTACCCCAAATTTGTCACAGACACGTACAAATATTAATTGTACGTGTCCGTAGAGATAGGTGTCTGTGTAAAACTAGGGTACCCATAGATTGTTTTCTTAATGATATTGTATTGATTTTGCTTAGCTTGCATACGTACGACTTGTGCCATGAAAACCAAAAGGTACAAATTGAATCTAAATCAATTGGTGAAGAGCAAAAGGATTCTAATAAAAAATATCGACTGGGGTAGATGGGGATCAAAGCAAAGAAAATGTAGAAATCGAAGTGGTTCAAGACTCGAACCAGACGTAGTCTTTCCGTCCCAAATTAAATTACATGTTTACTATTCACTGCTTCAAACTTCATCACTTTGTTTTCCTATTTTTGCTAGTCATTTGAAAAAATAATATAGTCATGTCACTACTAATTTTGTAGATCTTTTGATGTATTTTTTATATAATTTTTATTTTTTAATTTTACATCATTTTTATTTAAAATAATTTAAAAATAACTGTAATCAAACATAGTAAATCAAAAAAAGATGGTTTAAATTGGTAATGTTTGAAATTATTTAGAAAACACGGCATTTTGAAACATATGTTTTTTTCTTCTAAAATGGATGGATGGAGTATGCACCTTTGGAAATGACAATAATTCTGAACAACTTCCAATTAGATTTCGGTGGTTTTTTTATTTCATTTTGCATTCTAAAATAGGGATTAGGGAGTATGTCAAGTTTAAAATACCCCATTGGTTCTCCTGACATTGGAAATCAATGTCATGGGATGACCCGGGAGTGCTTTGGTGCCCCGTTCGTAAAATTGACGATTCCTACCCCTAATGCCTCGGTAAACTCCCTCACTCCACCCCGACCCGAACACACCCCACACCTTCTTCAATTGCACTCCAAGTTAATTTTGACTTTGGAGTCAAAATTTGACAGCAAAGTCAAAAATAACTTCGGGTGCATTTGAAGCAGGTGAGGGGTGTGTTTGGATCAAGGCGGGTGGGATGAAGAGGTTAGAAGTAGTAAGAACCGTTAATTTTACGAATGGGGTAACAGAACACCTCCGGATCATTTCATGATATTGATTCCCAATATACCGAGTTTGAAGGCATGGAACCGGCCCCTTAAAATATATTAAGGCATGAAACCGTACATCTCTGAGATTATTAAAGCTATAATCGAGTTGGACAGCCCTCTGAACTCCTTAATCAGATATGGGCCGAGGTCCTGCATTTCTTCGGTCCTGCCTTCAATCTAGACCTACAATCTTGGGCTTTCAAGTCTAATCCATCACTACCTTCCCAAGAGCCTTGTTTATTTTTCAAGATTTTTGGTCAAAGTATGTAAATTTTTATTAGGAATTAAATAAAAACAAATATTAGGTATTAATACAAAATTAATTTTATTCCACTTATTATATAAAATATTTTTAAAATATTATTTTATCTAATTAATATACTCCCGGCTTCCAAAATTAAATTAGATGTTTATCTTGTTGGACAATGTGCTATCATGCATATATATTTTTGCAATGTCCTTTGCCCATTGTCTTTTAGGTTTTGATAATGACAAAAGAGTGACAAAACATCATCATCATTTTGTGCATCAAGGCTAAGAATCAAAGCTACAACAAGTTCATATCCGTCCGTGAAGAAGGGACTTGAGCATCGGTGGAAGGAACGAGACCGAAGAGGTTGTTTCCTTAGTTGGGTAGTGTTTTAGGTCTTAGATTATGTGTTAAAGAGTATGGCATCTCTAAGGTTCATTCCCTTATCATCCTTGTAACACCCCAACCCGCGTAACCCGAACCAACGGGTTAGCGAACCGGGTTGTTACTAAATTGGTATTCGCATGCATAATTTTTTTTTTTAAAAAAATAACCAACTGAATAAATTACAAATTCATCTGTGAGAGTTTAAAACAAAACCAAAATTTATCGGAGTAATAAAACAAGTCCAAAAGTCGCGGAAGCATAATAAAACCAAAGTAACATCCAACAATCCATGTAATCAAATAAAATAATGTAGTTTAATTACTAAAGTAAACAAGAGCCATCCACGCCACACCACCACTTCACTGCCCTCCGGGTTGCCCATCAAATTCTGTGTTCCTACCTGCGTGCAGTCAAACAACAACAACAACACGCTCAGCGAAACGCTGAGTGAAAATATACCTAAGCCAGCATTAACTCACAGAATAGCACCACATTAACATACAATCAACAACAGCATGTGATCACGGAGAAAATAAATAGCTTTAATAAACATATTTTATATTAACACCTTCCATTTGAACATCATGCCCCTATTTCATTCCACATCAACTACTTTGAGTCATGGCACCCCAAGCGATGCTATAAAAGGGCCAGCTCAGAAACCCAAAGGAGATTCACTTTGGGCGGGTTGAAGCCCCTGTCCCTACGATGCCAAGACAGGTCGCGGACTTCCGTACGTACGTTTTTAACCCAAGACCACCGGGGGTGCGACGACGCCCCGCAATGACCAATTTCCTGACCATATCCTATTGGTGATTCAATCAGTCAATCCAATTCAGGTCCGCCTAATTATACTATGTGGCCTATTTCTCTTACATTATTCATAATCCACAATATTCACCAATAAGATTAATTTAATTTATCATTGGTTCACAAATTCAAAACAAATCACACAGCGGCCTATCCGGTCCGAGGATCCACGATTACCGTCATGCATAATCCACAAACCCAAATTAGAATTAATCCAACTTACCTGCGCGGAATCGAGCCCAAGGAATCGATCCTCAAGCTCGCTGCCCCCGCCGGAGCAGTCCCCATCGTCGCTGGAACAACCCCGGCACCCCGCCGGTAGCCGCCCCCGACTGCCCAAACCCGAAGCCCGGCCAAACTGCCCTATTGGGTGACTTACAGCCACCCGGACAGCCATCAATTAGCCCCAAACGGTCCAATCCAACCCAATTGTATCGAATTAAATCCAAATAAAACAATTGAACCCAATTGAACCCGTTACGACCCAATTGAACCCAATTGCACCCATTTGGACCCAATTGGTGCCAATTGGATCCAATTGGTCCAAATCAAGAGGCTACCCAGTTCCGGCCACCTCGCCGCCGCCGTTGCCGACGGTCGCCGGAGGTGATGACGGAAAACAGCCCCCCAAATACCAATTCCATAATTTCAACACCACAATCACAAATTCCCAATCAAATCGCAAGATTATACGCCAAGGAAGTTCTAATCTACAAATTAATGCTAACGGAAGGTATAGAAACCACGAATCACCTTGAAAAACGACGAATTGAACTTGAATCGGAGTGAATTCGCCGCTGCAACTCTTCCCTAGTTTCGCCGGCCTACTACGCGTGACGGAGGGACGAGGCGGGGACGTCGGTCGGAAATCACTGGCGTCGACGGTGATGACAGCGGCGGAGTATCGCGGCGGTTGCTGCGGCTGCTGGCTCTCCCTGGCAGACAGATGACGAACAGGAACGGCGAACAGAGGTGAAACGGACGTGCGTAAGTCTCGTAACTCCCCCTCTCCTATTTAATATGGAGTATAAATTTAATTCAATTTTAATGTCCAGTTTACACTTTCTAACCGTTTAGGATAAATTTAAGCCCAATTACCTTATTCGGAAGTCGTTTCTTGGGCCAAGTAAGTCCGATTCTCAATCCGTTTGCGCGGTCGGGTTCAGAACAGCGTGTCGTACAACGTAGGTCAACCCCCATATTAATTATGCAAATTAGAAAATAATATTCGTATTGATCGACCTAATAATTAATTAATTCTATAAATTAATTAAAATACTAAGCCGGGTTTCGGGGCGTTACAATCTTACCTTTAAAACACATTTTATATCAGCTTTTGTGTGGGGAAGTTGTCTTTCTATTCAAATAATCTCTAGTTTATTCGAATAAGTCGTGATCTTTCCTGTGACTGAAATTAACCTGTTTTATTCGAATAAATCACCATTTATTCGAATAAGTCCTGGTTTTTCAACCTGATTTATTCGAATAAATCACCATTTATTCGAATAGGAACTGGTTTTTCAAGCCACGCGATTGATCCAAACTATTCGAATAGTTCTTGAATTATTCGAATAAGGCGACAGTTTCAACTACCAAACGGCTAGTTTTTTGAATCCTTTTCATCCCTATCCACTCCCCAACTTCTATAAACTATCTAACTTCGTGATAATCTTCATGAGAACACTTAGAACACTTTGAAGAACATATCCTTTGAATATCCAAAGAGATTCTACTCAATCCCCTCCTTATATCCAAGCAAGGCAATTGTTTTGATTGCTAAATCATTTCTTGCTTGAGTCTTTCCTCATTGC